CAAAAGTAAAGTAGGATTAATGCTCGGACCTTAAATGGTGTACTGAAGAAAGTGTACATAATGTCGGATGAAAAGGTCAAATGTTTACATTTTACGCTTCACGGACGAATGTTAATTTGGCAAATGTAGACAGCGAAAAGAATTTACGTTTGTTAAAAGAGTTGAAGGATCCTGTAGGAAGTCACACACGTTAAAAAAAAAAAATTTTATTTACACACAACAAGAAGAAAAAATTTTTAAGCAAAAAATGGAAGATTGATTCAGGATAAAACAAAGGTATGACGACGTTCTTCAGCGACTGACAAACTTTTTCGGTACAACGCTCTTCTTACTCTCTATATGAACATGCACTTATACACACATACATACATATATACGGAGGTGTTGAGGCCTCACACTTATACACACACCCACACGAATATCCACACTTACACACATCATACTCATTCACTCACTAGTTGAGCCAAATGATAACACACACCCATAGTAATATACACGCTTACACACATCATACTCACTCACTCCCTAAGAACCAAATAACACACTCACATTTAACAGAGACATCCCCTTTCCAGGAACCAATAAAACTGTCCAAATGACCAAGGGAATTCAGAGCAGCATGAATCCATCCAGCTCTTATCTTAAATAACAACTCAAAAGAGACTATTTGACCAACACAAGGCCTGACCAAAATTCATGTTAAAATAATAATAATAATAATGAATGAATGAATGAATGAAAACTACAGACAAAAGTTCAATTTCTCCATCAAGTCATTCAGTTCTGTAGTTCATTGCTACCAGCGAGCAGATATTTTTTCTCCTGATGATGGCCATGTTGGCGAAACTAGTCAAAGAATCTTACTGAAATAATAATAAAAACGAAAGAATATTAATATACAACCCAGTGTGTCCGAAGATTTTAAGTTTTTAATATTTTTATTCTTCAATATATATATATATATATATATATATATATATATATATATATATATATATATATATATATATTTATTTTATACAAATTAGGTAATTTATTATGGGTAGACCTGAGGAGGATGATATCCAGAAGCTCAATGTAAAATTTTTTCAGAAATGTATTTGAATAAACAGAGAGACAAGACCACGTTAAGATTCCATGTAATAAGCTATTTAAAAGTTAAAGTAACGCGAACTGACAGCGTCTAAGAATTTGAATGAAACCTGTCGTGTAATTAATTGGGGTTGTTGTAACGTCTTCCTTTAATGTCGCTCTTATCATTCACCCCTTAGCCACCTTTATCTAGAGATGAGACGCGTTAAATTTGAGCAACATTTAGCCGACACACTGGGGTTAAAAATAGGAAACTAAAATGATACATATGACACACTCATAAGATCTCTCCCACCTCACTTCCTCACTTCGTTAACTTTGCGTATACTTGATGAGGTCCGTAAAAAACGTGTGAATTTCTTTTTTCATTTTTCATTTCAGCTTTTGGAAGTAAAGTCTGATGATCCAGAACCCTGTTAAAGGGGTTATGGTGAAATAACTTATTACATGGAATCTTAACGTGGTCTGTCTTTTATTCAATATATATATATATATATATACTTATTTTTTATAAAAAAAAAATTATAACATAAGTATGTTATAAAATCACTACAGCCTATCTTAATCCTACAGTTAGTTTGTAGGATGGACAATTATTCAATTTAATTACATAAGTTGTTATTTGTATTCTTATATTTAGTATTGCAGTTCGTACAAAAAATGTTCTTTTATTTGATAATCCGAAATTGATTCTATCCATATTATAAGAATAGAATAGACAGGGCTCGAAAGTAATATATATATATAATATCCATATATATATAATTGGTATATACGGAATGAATTCCAATAACCAACAATTATATATATATATTATAATGCACTGTAAACGTATTTTTGTTGAAATATTTTCTTCAACGAAAACGAACTTGGCAGTATATATTTTACTCAATTTTTCGTTTACATTGTTGTTGTTTACCAGAGTTCAATATCTTTTTGCGGATCAATATACCACCTGCAACAAACTAGTTAACACCCTTCTGATCTGGAGTCAGATGTTATGCCACAACGCGACACGGTAATTGGCTTGATTTTTTTCCCCTTTGATGATGACTTGTAGCTTAACAGTAAAATAAGATTTTGCTTAAAAGTGGTTTACCCGATCAGAACAGGAATAATAGTTAATATGCTGCAAATATTTAACCATTTCAGCACTGCGTTCCTAAGCAATTTTAGCCCCTTCTGCCTGATCTCCTGAGACAAAATTCGCAGATAATTGGTATGTAATCTTTCACGGTAGATATAAACAGTTACAAGTGTTTACCCACCGTTCAACCGGTGGCTAGCCATTAAGATATTTTTCTCTACCACCGGTAAAGCGGTGGTCATATATCAAAAAAGGGTTTAAGCCGGTATACATTTATAAAAAAAATTATCTAATCAAATACGTATATCTTTTCTCTCTCTCTCTCTCTCTATATATATATATATATATATATATATATATATATAAAGTTATGAAGAACTTGGTAATACGTATGGGTAATCCCAAGGAGGATGAAATTGAGAGCTCAATATAAATCCATATATATAATATTTAAAAGAAAAACAGACCACTTTAAGGTACCATTATAATAATTTATTTCACCAGAGCCCTTTTAAAGGACGCCGGATCATCAGATAGCACTTCCAAAAATGAAATGAAACGAAAAATGAAATTAAAATTGATGGGTAGTGTAAGTTTTTGTAATTTAACAGAGAGTGTAAAAGGAGTAGTTAAAGAGACATGGTAGAGTTTAGGGAGGGATTAATTTCATATCTCTCTCAAGTATACTTTGTATTGGGGGAGGAGGAGTGACCAGACCTTGACCTATTTAGACGGTTAACTTAACGGAAGTGATATATTGAAATGGGAGGGAGAAGGGTAAAAAAAAAAAAAAAAAAGAAAAGAATAGGGAGAGGGAAGCAAAAAAAGAAAGAGGCTGCAATTGGGTTTTAGCAATTTATGTAAAGAATAGATTTTAATGCTTGATAGTAATTTAGATGATAAAAAAAAAAAAAACAAATAAGTTAATTTGATGTTTGCTATCAATTTAAATATTTAATTTTTTTAAAACAAATAGTTTAGGGATTTAATATAAGTTAAATACTATATTTATTAACACATTTATAGAGAACATATAAAAAAATATTTTAAATTATAACAGTTTGTTAGTTAGGACCGATCGTATTTTTTTTAATATTTAAAAAATTAGTTACGGTAACATCTTTAAATCTAATTTATGAATGCAATTTGTAATTATTTAAAATATATATATATATATATATATATATATATATATATATATATATATATATATATATATTTAAATTGAATTATTTAAATATATATATATATATATATATATATATATATATATATACTGGGCTGTAGTAATAAGAAATATAGGTTGATAGAACCCGTATATATATGGGTTCTATCTACGTTCCGCAGAGACTCGGGGGTTGTCTGGCTATGTACTTCAATCAGTTCATGCTGCGTTTTTCAACGATGAAGTACGCTACAAGATATGTGAAGCTGTAGAGGGGAAATGTTATGGGATGTGTCATCTCTCTAGTTCTGTTTGTGATGCTGTTGGAGGTGATCTTGAGATGCGTGACGCCAGAGTACCTCTTCCTGCAGAATGAGATCAAAATCCGAGCATTTATGGATGCTTTGACGATAATTCAAGATGATAGGAAAGTAGCACAGTTGGTTCCGGATAAACTTGCAGAGTTGGTAAAATGGAGTCAGATGATCTTCAAACCGAAGAAAAGCAGGTCACTGTCTATGAAGGGAGGTTCTGTCATACAGGAAGTGTTTTCCATCAAAGGCGAAAAGATACCAACAGTGCGGGAGCAAGTTGTGAAGTGTCTTGGGAGGTGGTATAATTTCCCTGTGACAGATCGTCACCGTGGGATTGAAATCCAGCAACAAACGGAAATGGGTCTGCGAAGAATAGACCAATGTGGGCTTCCTGGAAAATTTAAAATGTGTTGTTTACATTTTGGATTGATGCCGAGATTTAATGTGGCCGCAAACTATAGATGAGGTGGCACTGTCTCGAGTGGAGATAGTTGAGAAGAAAATTAGTAAATGCATACGGAAGTGGCTTGGTGTTGCACGGATTCTGTAGCCGGTCACTTTGTATGGCAGCTTGGGGGGAGGCTTCAGTTACCTATTACTTCTTTGGTGGAAGAGACAAGGTGGCAAAGGTGAGATTGCAGTCCATACTGTGCGAGTCTAGGGATACTGTTATCCGGAAAAAATGTTCCGGAGGTGAAGACAGGAAGAAAGTGGAAAGTGTCAGACGTGGTGTCAAGTGATGATAAAGCAGGCAGAAGTGCAAGGTGCTACAAGGAAGGGACGTGCTAGACTTGGTCTAGTCGAGAGGGAGAGATTCTGGTCAGAGGCCAGTAGACAGGAGCAGCGTAAAGTTACAGGAACAGGGGGTTCGAAAGGAGGAGAGACGTTTAGTGCGCACTGTCCAGCAGGCTCAGCAGGGTCGATGGGTCAACTGGGAGGGTATTGAGGGTGTTCGGATCATTTTCTCTGATTCGTGGCGTCTAGGCGCAGAACATTTGATGTTCCACATACCGGCAGCATGTGGCAGCATCACCGGCAAATTTGAAGAAATGGGGAGTGCAGGAGTCATCTCCCTGCCGGTTGTGTGGTGCTTATGGAAACCTGCGCTACATACTGTCGTTCTGCCCGAAGGCGCTACAGAACGGCTGGTACACCTTCAGGCATAACTTGGTTCTGGAGGTCGTGGCAGCAGCTGCGAGAAGTTTTAACATACCCTCGAGGGACCTGCGAAGGGTAACCTTCCTGAAGCAAGGTGAGATTGACACAAGTCAGAAGACCAGGTCGGAGGACTCAAGGAAGTGGAGAATGTTGGTTGATTGATGCAACACTGCCAGTGGAGGTA